GGCAATGGAATATGTCATCAGCACATGAAACACGCCCCTTGGTTTCTGCAGCAAATAACGCGGGGAAGCTGTTAGCAGTTGGCGAAGGCAGTCACTATGCCACAGGCCTACTGCAGCTCCTGATCTATATGCCGCTTTGGCTGCATTCACCCCCATCATGGACACTCAAGCTCTCGAATGGCAAGGAGGTTGGCCTCCAGAGGATGACGCCAGGAAATTCAGCGCGTACTTTCAGGATAATTGCGTATCTTGTTGCAGAGTTGCAGTGACGGCGGCTCGAAACGGTCTCAATTGCGGAAGTTTTTGACGTTCTACGTAGGATGCTACGCTCTCTTGGCTGGGTTCGCCTGGATGGAAGGAGCGACACCATGAGGCGGAAGCACAGAATTTCAAATGCGAGCATGTCATGCCCAATGCTCTCCTGGCGCGGCGGTTTCTCAAAGCGCAGCTTAATTTAGCTTCCCGCCTTGCAAAGAGCAGTCCTGGGCACTAGCAAGTGTAAAGCGGCAGCCGCTGGACAATTGGCGGTCTAACTTTGTAACCATGTTTGCTTGCAGAAGAGGCCGCCCAGCAAACAAATGGGACCAGTACTTGAACTCTTTTGCAAAGCATCATTTTCAAGAGGCATCCTGGCTTGAAGCTGCCCAGCGCCGGGGCCAATGGTTGGCTGCTGCGGGTGACTTTGTCCAGGATTGTATGGAACTACGGTGTGCCTCTTTTGTTTCTTGTACGACTAGGCTCGAACGGGCGGAAGCTGGAAACTGCCGCTCCCAGCAACTGCACATTTGGCTTGCGAGCGATGGGCAAGCAGCGCCTATGGGGGGTTTGCCATCAGCAGGGTTGGTGCTGGACTTGACATGCTCGAACCAGCAAGTGGACTCCAAACGAGCCGTGCTGGAGCTGCCAGTAACGTTGCTTGACAGCCTGGCGCACAGCAAGGGGCGTGCATCTTGGGCAGCGATCCAGAAGCATGCTGATGTTCGCGCAAGTGTCACTTTCAGTGCAGATTGAGAGGCAGTCGTCGCAGCTAAGCCAAGCATTGACCATGACCGAAGTGATACAACACTTTCTTAGTGGCGCCTAGGCCCAGAGTCAAAGAGCCAGTCGATGCAAGAACATTCATTCAGTACTTGGCTCGAGAAATTTGCTTTGATGCATTGGCTGCAGGAAACAACAATCTTTGCAAAGCAATACTTCACACCCTCTTTCCATGCCAATAGCCGGGCATGTGGGTTGCATGCATTCCCAAGACTGATGCTTGATCGCCCCAGCTGCTTTCTTCAAAGCGGAAGGCGCGGAAAATAAATTTCACTTGAGTTTCAACATATGTTAACTATATGCGCGCCAGATTCGCACCAGTCAGCTTCTCTCCATCTCTCAGCCTCTCTGCCATCCTTCCCCCACAGCCCGAGTGCCCAGCACAGGCGGCGACGTTGGCCTTGGCCTCCAGCAACAGCATGAGTACCTCGCGGCCGCAAAACGCATCGCGGCCTAACGCAGCACGCCTGGGTTGGACTTCACCAACAAGCTGCCGATCAAGGTTCGGCTGTGAAAAAGACGTTCAAGCCCAACTAGCAAACAGGGAATGCGGATTCTGTAACGTGTGTGTGTGTGTGTGCGTTTCTCTTGCCAATAGCAATTCTGCGGGAACAACTTAAAAAACTAACCAACCAAGGGGAGAAGGGTCATTGCGCACCATAGGTCAACAGCCAGTCAAAGAAACAGTTCACGATTGCGATCCCATGCTCCAGCTCATTTCCAAGTCTCACTGGCTCCGCTCGACATGTGGCTTTGTCTGTGGTGGATTGGCACCTCAACATGTCGGCAAATGCGAGCATCAAACAGATTTTAATCCGTCGATGAGCATGAGATCATTCAGAACTAGCCAGGCAAGCCATATCGGCGCTGTGTGAGAGACAATGCACAAAAAGTGACCCTTTTTTCTATTTTCTCTAGGGTTGATATGTTTCTCTGTCCGAAGCTGTTGGGTATCCACGGATGTGTCATATCATGATGGCTTTGGGTCTGAGCCTTGTTGGGCAAACATGAAGCAAGCCGCGGCCAAGCACCCGGCTTGAGGAGCCGAATTCGCGGCAAGAATCCATCGAACCCTCCCCGAACACCTCGACGCTATCATGGTGGGCTGCAAGGTGTAGAGCCTTGGCACATGTGCCACGAACACCTCGCCGAAGTCTCCGTGCAGTAGAAACAGGTACAGTGGTACAGCATCAGAACCAGCACCAACACCACCGACAGCGATGCCAACAACACACAACGCCAATAATGCAACAACAAGACTAACACCACCGACACCACCACCACCACCACCACCACCACCACCACCACCACCACCACCACCACCACCACCACCACCACCACCACCACCACCACAACCACAACCACAACCACAACCACAACCACAACCAACAACAACAACAACAACAACAACAACAACAACAACAACAACAACAACAACAACAACAACAACACCAACACCAACACCAACACCAACACCAACACCAACACCAACACCAACACCAACACCAACACCAACACCAACACCAACACCAACACCAACACCACCACCACCACCACCACCACCACCACCACCACCACCACCAACAACAACAACAACAACAACAACAACAACAACAACAACAACAACAACAACAACAACAACAACAACAACAACAACAACAACAACAACAACACCACCACCACCAACAACAACAACAACCACCACCACCACCACCACCACCACCAGCACCAACAACAACAACAACAACAACAACAACAACAACAACAACAACAGCAACAACACCGACAACGTAACATAAGCCTCTGCTTTGTGCACTGAGCCTGCGGCAGTTTGGACGCCGACACACTTGCCTACAGGTAGATGGCCCATGGACCAACTATTCAGCGGAAGTGAGTTAGCACCCTGCCAGCGCACCCAGGGATCAGACCTACACACACCGAATCCGAATGCATGGCTCCCACCTTCGGAGCTCTCATCAGCCTGACGGTGGCTGACGGTGGGCTTGAGGAGCGGAACGACGCAAATGGCGATGGTCCATGGTGGGCAGCAGAAATAAGACTCTGCACCTGCATTTGCAAGCCATGTGCCTGCGGTAAATTCTTGCCCGTATCCTGTTCTGAAGAGTCCTACTGAGGAAAAACATACATCGGCATGCAAATGCTGAAGGTCACACAATTCGAACATTGGATACGCTTTTGGCCAGTTGCCACTGCTTATGACTACCATAGTCAGACAACTACTAAGCCATTCCCTCAAAATGTTTTTCTGCTCCCCTTGTTGCAATGAAGCCGCTCTAAACATTCACCCTGATTCATTCTTGCACACGCAGGCCCCAAAAGCGGCACACAATCGCGAAGGCTCCCGAAGGGTACCAGATACCGTTGGCACCCCAACGCCCTAAGCGGCATGCGCACTCGCGCAACTTCCGCCTGGAGTCAGCAAACAAATATAGCGCCAAGAAGTTGGGATCGAGAGGCCGCCTGCCATCGTGAGTTTGAAGTTGGGTACCAGGAAATCCTAAGCAAAGGGAAAGCAACTATTGAACTCAAACCGAGTGGGATGGACCTCAAGACGCTCCGACAGCCCAGGCACCTGAGGCGGGTTGCACAGGGCCGTCAGGCTGGCCGAGAACTCCAGCAGCACCTGGCCCTTCCCCTTCAACAAGCCTTGAACCCCTTGCTACCGGGCGAGGGGTTGAAAAGGATCAAAAACAGACATGCAAGAATATGTTCTCTGGATGTTGAACTTCTTTCTTGCGAGCATGAAAGGGACACAGTGCTCTGAGCTACGAGAATTCCGCGTGCACGCTCCTGTTTGGGGCCATTGCGGGTGCCAGGCGGCAACTCTCTCTCGCTGATTTTGCCTCGTACGAGTATGTGTTGCATGCGGTTGGACGGTGGGGCTTCAGTCGCTGGCTCGCCTTTAGCCAGCAGAAATGGGGACGTTCAATGAACAAAAACAGCTTTGCAATTTGAGTTTGACAAGGACCGAAACCTCATCGCTTCCCTAGATCCCCTATGCATGCTATGGGGTTTGAAGGTGATCTGGCACCTGTGCCCCGGCAAGCGGAAGTTCCGCTCCATCTCCCCACCTTCGCAGCCGCCGCGCTGTCGCGCATGGCGCAGACGTGCAAGGCTGTGCGACCTGGGGAGGTCGGCAACACATAAAGCGAAAAAAAATCACCTATGTGATCCAAAAGGCCGAAATGGGACCCCATTGAACTAACGTCCGTTTGCCGCCTGACTCAAGCACTGACGTGAAAGGTGCTCACGCCTGCCACCGGGAACCCGGGATTAGTGAACCCCTGCTGATAAATTTGGGCATGTCACATATTGCCAGGGATTCTTCACTTTTCGGGCAAGCCCCCCTTTTGTTTATCCGGCAAATGGTTTCATCCAAGGTCAACGTGACTTTCACCCAAGCGAGCCCGAAACTTGTATTTCCTGTTCTGATTCGGCCGCTGGGGTCGTACAATGGACTACTTCAAAGGAGGCCAAAACGAGGCCAGGGCATGAAGCAGCAGCTTCAGCACCTTTTGCACTGGCCCGAGACGTGCAGCCAGCCTAAGAACTTTGGCTGGCCAACTTTGAGCCTGAAGCGTTGTAAACGCCGACAGCCTTCCCACCCATTTTTGGACGGGAGTGGGGAACTACCCCCGAACCCATTCGCATGAAAAACGTGCCATTTGCACCCAAGCCAGGACAAGCACGCGGCGCTTCCGCGCCAGATTCCATGAGCAAAGGTGCAGGGGATGGTGCTAGGGCGTCACGGGATGACATGGCCTGGCGCGGTCGCATTGCATTATCGATCCTCGCGTGCCCCTGCGCAAGTCTTCTTGGCCAATCAGGAGTAGAAACGTGACTCCTACATTGTCTGCGCGAACCCTGCTGCAGCCTTGGGTCTTCGCTTAACACTGAGAGAGTAGCAAATTAGATTCCGCCCAAAAGCCAGCAAGCCCGGCCTACATAAAACCGGCGTCCGTAGCATCCCGGCGAAAGAGTGAAAGGAGAACATTGTCGTCTGGAAGCTTCCTGTGCCTGAGGCAAGGAAGATACAAAACGCATGGCGGCAAGGTTGTTCCTCACAGCTGTTGTCCGTGTGCTTTCCAGCCAAGCTGCACCCGAGCCGTGGGCTTCTGCAGGAAGTCCAGCCTCAAAGCAAATGGTGAACGCTACCCCCCCCCCCCCCGTTGACCTGAAACCTGCTCCATCAACGGGAAAGTGTTCCATACATGACGTGTTCCCCCCTCTCCCCACTTGCGAGCAAGTTGGAAGGTTGGCCACGTCGCCTCTAACAAGTTTAAAGCTGGAACCTGAGCGTTCCGACCAACCCCGCCCGGTAAATCTGCCAGAGTGCCACTTGTCAATGTGTCCAACACTTTGACACACTCAGACCGTCTTGCTGCGTCACGGCTGGGGGCCGTGTGGCGCTTGCGCTTTGCGGCATCCTTTTGTCGCACGACCCCTTCTATGCTTTGGCCAGCATCAAACAAACAACATGAGTAAGACAGATCCACCCACCGACGTCCATGGAGCGCTTTGAAGACAGGGGCGGTCCAAAGACCCAAACAAACCGAGCCAACCTCTGCGACCAGCATGGGCCCTCCCATGACTACGGTATCCCACCTTGAGGGGCGGGTCCCTTGGCAGCATAGAAGTTGCAGAGAAGAAGCCAACACGACAACAGCGGCCACGGGGCGTGCACTCGTGGAAGGCCTGCACGAAGCGCCGCATCCATGGGGTGGGCCGGTCCGGGTAGGCCGCCGACACCAGGACCCACCAGCTGTCCTCGTCCTCAGAGAACAAACCCTTCGTTAGCGGTGGCGAGGCTTGCGGTTGCAGACTGCTGGGCAACCTCACCCACGGCTTGATTTACATATTCCACCCCCTGGCAGCCACACTCCAAGAAACTTGAAACCCTCATTGGCTCTGCCCCTCTGCCCTGCCTGCTGCTCCACCACGACGGTCAGCGGCTGGTGAACGTGCGAGATTGTGGAGTCCCGAATCTCGGGGCTGCTGAGCTGATCGCCCCCATGCCACAAGTTCTCCTCGGGCGGAGGGAAAAAATGTCTGGCGTCCATTCATAAAACGGCCAGGGCCCAAACCCGCGCACAGGCAGGTTATTTTACATCTCTGTGAGACTCTCACCACGCAAAATCATCTGCCTGCGGCTCTCCTGCAGGGGCAAACCGCCTTAAGTAGGGGCACGCCCGGCCCCCTGAGTGCATCAAAGCCGCACCAACGTGCATGAGCCCGCCCTTCCGTTCGAAGTCTAACGGCTGGACGTTCACGACGTGCCGCTCAGGCTTGCGCAGGCAGTTGTAGACCGTCCATTGGCGACTCAGCCATAACAAAGGCTACCAGTGTTTCTCACACTCTCTACTGCGACTCATGTCAGCATTCGCACTTGGGATGCCGCCAAAGATCTTCACAAAGCTTCTTCACAGGCTTGCAGCACGCACCCCTACCACTTGCAAGTACATGCAAGTTTGCCAAAGTCAGTGCTTTTGGTCTGACACTTTCACATCCTGATCATCCAAAATAAACTGCCCTCCATGCCTCAACGCAAGCAGAACACCAAATGAAATACCAACTGGCTACGATCAAGAAGATTGAAATTATCGGCCTCATAATCTCCTCTTGCAGCCGACTATATTAAACCAAATGAAGCCCTTGCTGAATATTGGCTTCGTTAAAAGCTAAGTACAGCCTTTTGTTCGGCCCCGAGCTGGACCGCCCCTTTTGCACCATGTCGCTGCTGAATCTTGTGGTACAAGTGCAGCACGGTCCCCAGGACCGTGGCAAACTGGAAGTCAACCTCAACATCAGCACCGGGCTCCTCTCCCTCAAGCCAGTGCATGGTGGAAGCTAAAGGCTGATGAAAGGAGGCTCCCATGGATCAAGCATTTGGTCCAGTACGTGGTGGGCCCCCAGAGAAGCTGTGCTTTAAAGCCTCATATGTTGCCTGCCGCTAAGTCCAGCACCCTCAGGAACAGATCCCGCCAGTCGGAGAACAGCCCCACGGCCATAGCTTCACCAGTGCCATCTCCTTACAGATCGTCCAGCTCGCGCTTCTCCAATAAAAATGCCCGACGTAAACATACCAGAGCTTCTCTCCATGTTGTTTCCACGGCTAGAGCAGTCTATGAATCCAAGATGAAGAGAGGACATCGACATGAACATATTTGTGAAGGAACAAACAAAGCATCACGTAGAATCCAGCCAGGGTTACGTTGACTCTGCAATCAGGCGCATCCACTGACAGCTTTCACGGCCAACTTGAAGATCCCGCGGCCGGGCGTCTCATGGGCGCGTAGAGGGTGATCTCCACGGTGTCGCTCCTGTCCGCCTGAGCCATGGCACAAACTACCAGGCCCAGCAGCACCACGTCCAGCGGCAGGCGATACCTGCCAGGCATGGAAATCAAACCGGCCGCACCTATGGTTGGGACATGGTGCGGCC